CTCTCTCTCTCTCTCTCTCTCTCTCTCTCTCTCCTCTCTCTTTCTCGTGTGTGTGTGTGTGTGTGTGTGTGTGTCCATGTATCAGACTGTTAAACTGTTATTAACTGTTGTAAATTTCAGCCTACAAAATATGTTCATATGTGTGTTGCATGTGTATACGTGCCTCTCTGTGTGTGCACTTGTGAAAATGGATGTGTATGTGTGTGTGTGTGTCGGCTAGAGGGCACTGCTAGGTGTTTTTTTCAGTCACTTTTAACCTTACTTTTTGAGTCAGTGCTTCTCCTTGAACCTATAGCATACTGATTTAGCTAGATTGGTTGGCTAGAAAAACCCCGGGGATCCAGTTTTCTCTGCCCTGTAACACTGTACTGTAAAATATTCTCTTCATATCTACATTAAAAGTGAAGCTAAAGGGTCAGTTTGTTTACATTAGCAGCTTGCTGTAACAAACTAGCTGAGTTACCCTCAGCAAGTTAACATAACATTGTGTGTGTAGATAAACATTCATTTTGAGACCTATAAGAAAGTTCACATGAAAAACCATTCCACAGAAGTAAGTTCTAAATAAATATGCACATCTGGAACAGCGCATGACTGGTTTCTGAAATACATCCTTATATACATATATTTATTAGATTATAGTTTTATGAGTTTAAAGCATAAAATACTGAAGAAAGACTATTTTGTCAGACATAGATTGTAACTCACTTCACCTCATATTGATCATTGATGGTTGAGTAGTACATTTATCCACATTTGGCAACATTATCTTACTGTTGGTTAGGAAGTGGGATGGGTATCCCATGAGGCTTTAGTCATCCTGTACCTGTGCTGGTGAAGATCAGTTTCTCAGTTCTTGCACATGACCAATAATAAGACTCATTTTCTTTCAAGATCTAAAGCTGTCAGAAACTTTTGAATAGAAGCTTCACTTGGGTTGGAATGCTTATTATATGGCTCCCTCCATGGAACTTCTTACAGTGTGATAGTAAGTAAAAAAATATACATAAAAGTACAGAGAGAGAGAGGGAGGAGAAGAAGAAGAAGATATTCTGGGATATTATAAACTAACCACGAAGCATTTTCATATTCCTTAGTAGAAGCAATATTGGTGTGTTCAGGATTCAGTGGGATTAAAATGTAACTTACTCCCTTACTTTATTGTTAGCTCTCTACACTCTTCCCTAGACCTGACTAGTCTTGCTGTACCCTGTCTCCTCTTGCCAACCCCCAAAATACTCCCCTTCTACTCTGATGCTCCTGTACTACATTCTAACTATAATGATCACTGTCTTTGTTCCTGTCCTTTTCTCCACATGGATAATATTTTGTACTGCATTTATATTAATCAACACTACATACAAACTTCAAAATACAGTATTCAAATACCTTCCTCTCAGAACTGTTCCGCAAAGGCATGGAATACTCATATTCTTCCTAGTATGTCCTGTACAACAATCCGGAAAGGCTATCCTTTCCCTGGTACACTGTAGCTTCCTCAGGACAGGCACTGTGGTGTGATTATAGGTACCCTATAGGGCTTTGTTGACTGCATTTGATTGACTTGTATCCATGTCAATGATGCTTTATGTTGCTTTGGAATTTGAATTCTATTCAGAATCATGGACAGTAATCAATTACACAGATATGGATGATAGGTACTCAGGCTCATTAATGTATTTTGATTTCAAAACTTACTTTCCAAACTCAGGTTTCTATAATACAAGGCTCAGATATGACCACTGAATGTATTCCCGCATGATTCTCATATCTTCTTTCTCTTACTTTGTCTTTATCTATTTCTCCTATACTGTAAAAGGGGGGAGAGAGGGAGAGAGAGAGAGAGAGAGAGAGAGAGAGAGAGAGAGAGAGAGAGAGAGAGAGAGAGAGAGAGAGAGAGAGAAAGCGAGAGCACTTTTTATTAAATGTTGGTTTTCATCATTTATCTGGGCTGATCTTATAGTCCCCTTGGCTATTCTATTTATCTTAAGATATCCAGAGTCTGTAACCAAGGCAGGTCAGAGAGATGGTCACTCCAGGAGAGCTGCATCATTGGTAAAATTGGTAAGTGCTATTGGCACAATAGCAACCTGGACCAAATCCTATCAAGCCTCTGTTTTGTGTACTGGTTTGCATCTTTTAAGTTCACTACAAATATGCCTTTAATGATTTGCAAGTGCATACCTGGGAATTTTTGAGGAGGTAAAATTATAAAACTATAGGACATTAGAGTAATGTCCTATAATTTCCAAAGACATTTCACACCATCTTTCAGAGAATCCCTATACTAGCAATAGGAAATAAATAGAGTTTGTTGAATTTTATAGATCAAGAATGATGTACAGAGAAAGCAAATGCTTTGTCCAATGTTGTAGCACAGAATTTGCAGTAGATTGAACAATGCTTGCATCCATAAATTCAATGCTTCTCTGTGTTGGTCATTTCTATATTCGGCGAAGAAGGAGATTCATATTTTCTCCATATGGTGTTCAGAGCATTGCTTTGTTCCTTCCAAATAGTATGAGTTCTGTGAACTTCCATTAAAGTATAGCATTCTGGGCCTAACACTTACTTTGTGAAACATCTTGGGTATCAGGTAGCTTTGTGCTTAGATTCCATCCATTTTTCTTTACCTGCCTCCCTCACTACCTCTCTTCTCGGTGCCCTTATGCATTTTCATCCACTTACTTCTTCATTACTCCTTTAAGATATATATTAAATCCTACCACATAGAACATCACTGAGCTGATTAGTGTGTGTGTGTTGGATTAACTGAGAAATTTCCATTTGTTGAATGCATTTACAGTCTAGTGAGAGTGACTATCAAGTAAGTAGGTGGAATTGGAATTCTAGTTTCTCCAAAAGGAATCAGAAATGGATAGTCATCTGCTCTTACATGAATAATGTGATAATTAAAAGAATGAGATCGATACTCTTGTTGACAATAACACATGAAAATCATCATCTCAATCATTTATTTTCTGTAGATCATGATTATTGTTTCATTTAATTCAGTCTTTCCATTTGTGTTCCTGATGTTTAGCAAGAAACCCCAGGGCGTTGTTGTGGCTCTGATTAAGTATTCCAGTGATCATAGTGCTTCTCAATAAACAGTTGTGGACTATAGATTTGTACCTTCTAAAGGAAAGTGCCACAAAACAAATATAAGAAGCAATTGCAAAGCTGAGGACTCAGTTGCCATCCTATTACTTGAGAGGTGGAGACAGAATTATCATGAGCTCAATACCTGTCTGGGCTATAGGGTGAATTTCACCCTAGCTTGACTACATAGTAAGATACAATGTGAAAAAAAATGTAAAGTAAAATTGGAAGTAACTGTATACACTCTCTCATCTAAGAGAGCTACTTATGTAGGGTGGATCGCTGGCTTGTGACTACAAATGAAAGCTGAGGAATGTTGCTCATTTCTCCTGCCCAGGGAGTTTGCCCGTTGGAAGGTGAGGAACACAGCCATAGAGAGGAGAGACCTGGTCCGCCATCCAGTGCCCCTCATGCCGGAGTTTCAAAGGAGCATCCGTCTGCTTGGCAGGAGACCCACCACTCAGCAGTTCATTGATACCATCATCAAAAAATACGGCACCCACCTGCTCATCTCTGCTACATTGGGAGGTAGGTCAGCAGCTACTGAGCTATGATTCCATCATTTTGTGTCCAGGATGACAAGAGAATGGGATGCCCTGAGAGTCAAGACATATTGGCCTTAAAGATTCGACTATATATCACCCCAAAGTGTGTATTTCCAGAGATGCCAATTGCCTTGGCTGCTGTGATCATGTCTGAAGAGATAATCTACATCTACATAAAGTGTAATTTAGGAGTATTAACTCTTGTGGAAATATGAGTTAACCTTGGAATGAACTGTTTGTTAGGAATGCTTCATGTGATCATTGTCATCGTTCTTCTGGAGTGGGATCTAATATCAAGAAAATTAAATGTGAGGCATTTTTTTAAGGAATTTCTTTTGTTTAAGTCAAAATTAAGAGGTGATTTTTGAGGTTAGCATTATATAAGTGGACTATCATACACATCTTATATGGGCTTAGAATAGGTTAACATGAAAGTAGGCCAATTGCTTTGCTCTACTCAGCCTTACTCATATTCCCTTCTAGGGCAATCCATCTGTGAGAGAATGAGTAGAGGGAGTAGAATGAAACCAATGAAAAGACAATGGGAACTATGGGAACTGGTGCAAATTGGGGCATTTAGGTTACGTGTCATGCCTGAATGCATCATTTCATATCCCTTAAGCACGGAGGTGGTTTCTTTTTCTTTTTCTTTTCTTTTTTTTTTCATTTCCTTCAGTAACTAAGTTCACTGTACTTTCTGAAAATCTTTGGTACTTCAACACCTGTGTAGAGCTGCTGAGATGCACATAGTTACGGACCATGCCAGGATAAATAATTTGCTGTGTTCTTGAACAGACCAAGGTATGATCCCAACAGGAGTCTTTTCCTTTGGGATATTCAGGATTATCCTCATAGGAGTAATGATACTTTAATTCAGTAGGTAGTGGCTTGATAAACACAGGTAGTAGTGTTTCCCAGGGTAATTTTACACTGTTAATTTGTGAGCATGTACACATTCATGGGTGTGTCAGCATGTGTGAAGGTGGACATACATGTGTGTGCTTGTCAGAAGTCAACATAGGCTCGAGTTGCTTTCTGTTTCCTCAGATTACAGGCATATGTTCTCAAATCCTACCTATTTACGTTGGTTCTGGGAATCCAAACTCAGGTCCCCATTCTTGCCCAGCAAGCAGTTTGCTTACTGAGGCATGTCCCTGGACACTTTCTATACAGTTTGATGAATGGGAAATCAGTAATTTGGAAGCCTGAGGAATATGGGTAGAGTTGTTGGCTGGATAAATTCATTCACAGTTACAATCATTTTAACCACTAATTAGTTAGGATAGCTGCAATGTAGGCATTTCATATTGTCTGTATTTCTCAAAACTACAAGTTAAATCGTAATACTTCCTTCTGTTTTATAAATAATAAAATCAGGCCTCGGAAGAGTATGGCTAATAAGTAACACAGCTAAGTCAAGAATGTAAGGTTTCCTGGTTGAAAAGCCTGCATTAATTGGGTATGAATTATCTCTTTCACCATCTTGATTACTCATCAAACTATCTATCTACTCCAACAACCAATGGATCAAGTTATTTATGTATCTTGTTAAGCAGATATTAAATTAAGTAGGACTTTCAATGTGAAATTATTAGTATAAATTATACTTGATTGTAAACTGAAAATGAGGTGATTTCTACAGGGCATGGTATTCACCTCTACACTTTCCTTTGAATGACACCCAACTCCTCTTTCACTGGGGAAAAAAGTTGTTGCAACCAATTTGATTCTTCTATTAAAAGCCGTGCTTTGGCCTCAGTCTCTGAAAATTCCTAGTGACAAAAGACTTTTTTCCCCCTCCACGAAATATATTTTTAATTTGTCCAAGGCAAGGTGGTAAATTATTCACAGAGCCTTGTTCCTCTCCCGTTTTTACAACACAGTGCTTTAAAATATGCAAAGCATTGGATTGAAATCTTGTGTTGGACAACAGTCCTTTAATGTTCTCTCAGGCCTCACTATGGAGGCGCTGAGCAAAGAGGAGAAAGATTTACTGTTGATCAAATCCTGTGACTTAGAAACAATGCAAGGTCCTTCAAATGTCATTATTTCACTCGTTCACTCATTCATTCATACTTGGAAAAGTATTTCTTAAGGGCCTCCTAGTGCACTGGGAGGGAAAGGGTTAAAGCAGAATGGCAAAGAAAAGGACAGGATCCAGAATGAGATCACCTACTTTCTAGTTCTGCCCCATAATTTTTATTAGCTTAGTGCCACTTCTGCAGATATTCAGTTCTCTGCCTCAGTTCCCTCTTTGTACCTAGTCATAATAATAGTTCTTTCCTAACACATATTGTGAGGATTAAAAACAAAATGAAGTATTAGAAGTCTTTAGCAAACACTGACACATGGCTGAGGGGAAGGAAACTCTTAGCTTTCTGGCACCTAGCAAATTATTGCTGTTGTTGTCACTAACATCACTGTTATTATTTAACGGAGCTAAAGAACTCAGGGAATCTCCAATGGAAGCCACATCCTGTCACTCACTAGAAGAGTGGGAGGTATTCAGAAACTCACTTTCTTGTCGGGATATCAGTTTCCCAATCTCTACAGAAAGAACTGTAGAAAATATTATTTATTATAGAGTATTTTCTTCTCCTTAGGAACACTGTATTCACAGAGACAAAATGCTTTGATAAACCTTTTGAGGTGTCAAGTAAGTTCCTAAGGGCATAATTAAATAACAAAAGATGAGCACTGAACTGTCATGTACAGGACAAGATGAGCATTTGTTCAGCTCTTTAGGGAAATAGGAAGGACAGGGAGTGGGAAGCACACATTCAAGCTGGGGGAGGGTCCCATAACTTAGGTATTTCCAGTACTTTTTAAATTTTAATGAAAACTGTTAAAATCACAAAACCACTTGATGTGAGTGATCTGATGGAGGGTAGTTCAGAGACAAATTCTGTGTCTGGAATTACATGCAGTAGCTTTCCTTAGTACCTCTGAAAATCATGTTTTGGGTCAAAGAAAACATTTTGTAGACTAGGTATCTGTGGGATGTGCCTGATTAAGCAAGCATGCATGCATACTTGGAGTATATGTCCACCTGTTTAAAAGGCACACATGGATGCTTCCCAAGGCTCAACTATGAGTAACTATCCTTGGGTATATCTATATTAAATTCTTACATACATAAAGGTATGATAGATGCATATAGGCTTATATGTGAAGTTTTACATGTATGGGAATATATGTACTACATTCATACCTTTTTATACATGAGTATTAGGGCAAATCCTCCTTGGCCATTTGTGTTTTCTTTGTGAGTGTAGTTGGTGTTCCCCACATTGCATAGCCAATAACTTTCATTTGGCTGGGAAGGCTGATAATAAAACTATATGGCCTCCAAAGGAAGGATAGGGATGTCACAACATCCCCATGTACAGTTACTGTGGTCCCTCCTGCAGAACAGTATTTTCCATTGACAAAAAGAGCAAACTCCCAGCTTTTTCCATCCTCTGTGTGTCTGAGTTTTGCTTTGTGCCTCTGAGGAAAGGTGGTGCAGGGAGTGAGGCAAAGACCCTGGAGGACTAGAAGACTGTGGAAAGGCCTGTGTGGGGTGAAGAGGCAATTTGCAGAAATGCCCAAGTGGGAATGCAGCTCCAAACAGCACATTCTCTTAATATACACGAAATTAAGTCTTAATAATGCAGCAAGAAGTCCATTAACCCCTCTTGATCTAAGGCTTCCTTCTGCCAGCTCTCAGTCCAGAGGGAACCAGCTTGTTTCACCTTCTGTTCCACAGGCCCCTAAGAGAGCCTGAGCTGACATGTGGAATATTTATTTCCACTGACTCATGGCCTTAACTCCTAAAATTCACTTACTATACACTTCTCTACCCATCTATTGATGCATCCATTTACCCAATCATCTGTCCAAACATCCATCCTCTGCCCATCCATTTACCTGTCAAATGATAACTGAACATCTGTTCTCTGTTGTACCCTAGGAGAAGCATTGGGAACATTAGAAAGATGAATTGGGTAATTCACATTTCCTCTTCCCACCACCCACTGTCCCTGAATCTCAAAGTGTGATTGGATGTAAAGTCATCTCTAAACTAGAACTTTTCGGGTTCAAAGAGAAGAGTAGCATTTCCTACTGTCCAACCAGGAATGGTGATCCATGAGAAAAAGCAAACCTACATATTTTGCTAGAAATTCAGTCAAGTCTAGTGTATGGACCCTCATGATGTTCCTTAATCACTTCATTTGTGAGATTTTAGTCTCATTGCTCAAGTAGATAGGTCAATAAATAAGTTGACTATTGACCTGGGATGCTTCCATATTTATTAATTTATGGTCTTATCATTATTTGCTAAGTACACAATCCATGGTCACATTGTTCTAAGTGGGAATGACATAGAACTATTCGAAGAGCCCCAGTCTCACAGTATTTTTGCTCTAGTGGAGGGAATAGGCTGTTAACTCAGAACCCCCCTCCCCAAATGAGATAATACTGTGTTGCAGAAATAAAGAGAATTGTGAGCATACATGGAAAGTATTATCAACCCAGGTAGGGTAAGGAGTGGGAGATAGAGAGATGTATTCTAAGAATAGATAATATCAGAGTATGAGAAATGGGTAAATGCTATCCAGGACAGAAAAGTGGAGTAAGGTAAACTGGGTTCATTTGACAGAGCAGAATATTCAACAGTGATAAAAAAAAAAAAAACAAACAAACAAAAAAAAACAGGGTTAAGTTATGCAGAGTTGTTGACAGTGAGGTAAAGAGGGATTCATTTTGTAGATCAGCAATGTCAACATTAGGGCAAAGTAGAACATGCTTTACTTGATACATGTATGCACAACCGAAGAGGCCAGGTTCTCAGGACTTGTGGTCCATGTTACCTACAGAGGTGTTACATGCTGGTTTGTGTTCCTGTCTATATGTCCCTCTGCCTTGTTGATTCATCTGGAATATGGAAATGATCTTAAGCTGCTGCTTCCTGGAACCATTTCTGGATAATAGGAACAGAATGTGAATCCAAGCGTGAGCCTTATATGCCATTTCCAGTGCTCTCAAGTAGCTAGGGATCACACTTGCTTTTTCCTCTCCCTCTTCTTGCCTTTTCATGCCTTCTTCCTTCCTTCCCTTTTTATATTAAAAACAAAAACAAAAACAAAAACAAATTTCTTTTATGGAGATGGTGACTAGGATTTACACTCAGGGCTTTGTATATGCTAAGCAAATACTTTGCCACTGAGCTACACCCCAGCCCTATCCTAATCAATTTTTCAAGGACTACAATGAACCAGAAACATTTCCAAGACTACATTTTTAAGGGTAAAATAAAGATGGAAATCAATTTAATAATATTTTTTACTTAACCTAACTTACTCAAGAATATTATCATGTCAACATGGTATCAGTAAGAGAACTCCTAATGAGAAGTGTTATTTATTTATTTTATTATTTATTTATTTTTTTGAGACAGGGATTTTGGTGCCTGTCCTAGATCTCACTCTGTAAACCAGGCTGGCTTCAAACTCACAGAGATCCACGTGCCTCTGCCTCCAGAGTGCTGGGATTAAAGGCATGTGCCACCACTGCCTGGCGAGAAGTGTTAATTTTTTTTTTTTCGAGACAGGGTTTCTCTGTGTAGCTTTGAGCCTTTCCTGGAGCTCACTTGGTAGCCCAGGCTGGCCTCGAACTCACCGAGATCCGCCTGCCTCTGCCTCCCGAGTGCTGGGATTAAAGACGTGCGCCACCACCGCCCAGCTTTTTTTTTTTCCGTGTTAAATTTTTATATGAAATCTTTTTGTGTCATTCCACAGCACAGCTTACTGTTTTGCTTGTTTGTCATTGTGACGCCTGCCAAAGTCCTCAAAGAGGGAAATGCCCAGCACAGGCACAGGTGCTGACTGAATGTACAGTCCAGGGTGTATTGAAGGAAAATGATCTCTTCTTTTTGGTTCCTAGGGACATTGCAGGCAATTCCTAAGCATTTCTAAGAGATGTACTTGGGTATGCCAGGTACAGGCCTGGCATGAAGAACTGGAATTAGAACTGGCCTAGAAAGCTGGGTAAGATTTAAAAGTCAAACACTTAGGAGAGGGAGAGGGCAAATTCGTCCTTAAAGTAAATTGCTTTTTCTTTCTTCAACTCAAAAATTCATCAGTATTCTAAAAACATTCCAATTGTCCTAGATACCAGGTTTTATGTCTCAGAATGTACTGTAAGGTTGTGTTCTCTAAATATTTTATTTTCTTGATTATATGTAATGGTAAATACTATATCATAGGCAACCTGAAATTATCAAATCATCATAGTTAATAATAACACAATATTTGCTGCACGCCGTGCAGGATCTAACTCTTTTTTGATATAGATTTAATCCTCATGTCAAGCCTTTGAACTAGGTTCAGCTTGTATCACTATTTTGCATGGGAAGGGTCTGAAGCATGAGGGTGATACCTAGTTCCAGTCAAGGCAGACCAGTCCTACGGTCGGGGTCTATAACAACTACTATTAATCAACTAACTTACTTTTAAAATAATTTTTATTTTATTTCATTTTTAAAAATTCTGCAATTTTGATGGACATATACACAAATGAAATATGATCATATACACACCTCTCTGTCTCCTCTACTTGTATTGTATTTTCCCAACTTCTCTACCACCTTCATCTCTTTTTCTGGTTTGCATGTTTTTCTATTTTTTTTTTTGTTTGTTTGTTTGCTTGTTTGTTTTGAGACAAAGTCTCAGTATATGGCCCTGACTGGCCAGGAACTCACTATGTAGTCCAGTCCCCCTTCTTTTTCTTTTTTGTAAGAAGTCTCTCATTTATTAAACAAAGGGTTGAGGTTTATATATGTGGGGTTTTGGCAGGCTTCGCTCCTAGCTACTGTGGTGTATCTTGGTTGGCTCCAGGCTACGTCATCCTCTTTTGGTTTGCAGCTTGTAGGTCAGGTTTCCTCTGACGAGAGTGCTCTCTACTCATGTCTCAGGTCTTTGTTTACTTAAGGCGTGGCCCAGTGCTTCAGGCTTATCCACTTCAAAAGAGATTCATAATAATTTATATCCAACTTTTGTTTTTCAATAAAATTTCAGATAAAAATGATTTAATTTTGATTTATGTATATGAGTGTTAGCCTGCATGTATATATGTACACCATGTGTATGGCTGATTCCCACAGAGGCTCGAAGTAGAATTTCAGAAGGGAGCCTAGAACAGGTGTTAGATGGTTATGGTCTACAAGGTTGGTGCTGGTAACAGAACAGCTGAAAGAGCAGGAGACCATGACGTTGTGAGGAAATGGGGGTGGGAGAAAGAGAAAAATAGAAGAGCTGAGAAGTACAACCCCACTTCAAACTCAGAGATCAGCTTACCTCTGCCTCCTGAGTGCCTTAAGTAAAGGTGTGTCCTACCACACCTTTGTGTCTATCTTTCTTTTATCCTCCTTTTTCCACTCTCCCATCCTCTCTTCCCTCCATTCCCACCCTCTGTACCGCTCATCTTTCTTCTGGCACTTTGCCTGTATGGTGGCCGAACATTGAATTTAAGGGCTTGCTTTATGCATTCAGAGAACATGGTCTACCATTATGCTGAGGTCAGAGTCCCATACTAATTGATTTTCAAGTGCTAAAATGATCTAGAGACAGTTCTCAATACTTTCACATATTACATAGTTTACTCTTGCTTCTAATCCCAAAGGAGGTTTTTTTGTTTTTGTTTTTGTTTTGTTTTGTTTTTTGTTTTTTTTGTTTGTGTGTGTGTGTGTGTGTGTGTGTGTGTGTGTGTGTGTGTGTGTGTGGCTTTTGTTATCTTTTTTTTTTCAGAATTGCTGCTATTGCTAATAATTACATGGGGGACAGACAAATTAAGAAATGTAATCATTTTATCTCAGTAGAGAATGGAGGTAGTAGTCTGGCTGTCATGTCTACTTGTTGGCTACATTTAGAGCTTCCTTCATAATCTTCCACTGAAATAGCTAGTTAGGCACATCCAATACCATTATAACTTTCTAGTGTTAGGAATCTACATATAAATTTCCAGGAAAACTCATGGAAGAAAAAAATATAAATTTATACAATCATATTTTTATCTTTGTAAGATATATTTCATCGATATGTCCATATATTAATTCCTCTGCCAATTCACCAATCATCTAAAATATATCTGTTAATTCTCTCTCTCTCCCTATCTCTCTCTATCTCTCTGTCTCTGCCTCTGTCTCTCTCTCTCTCTCTCTCTCTCTCTCTCTCTCTCTCTCTCGCTCGCTCGCTCTCGCTCTCGCTCTCTTGCTCTCTCACTCTGTGTGTATGTGTCTTTGTCTCTGTCTCTGTTCCCACATCTACCCAAGCATTTTGCTATCTATTTACTCTCTTTTCCCATACCTACTTATCTTTATATATCCATAACTTGTCATTTGTCTGTGTAAAATGGGGTGGTTAGAAAAGAAATAAAATATGGATGCAAGGAATTAAGGAGATGAGGAGAAAAGAGTAGAGAAGAGAAAAAGAAAGAATTAGGTTGTTTTGAGGAAACAGAATAAAAAAGAAAAAGGAAAGAATATCTATGCTAAATCCATCATAACCTTTCTTAGAAGTAGCAGACTTTATTAGGTAAGACAATGCTCTTGAGATGTATGTAAAAGTTTATTTGGTGATGGACTCTGGTGACTTAACCTTATTCAATGGCCATTGCTCTAATGGAATCTACAGCAAACTCTGAGTTCTGTCTTCTGCACTATGCCCTTGATTTTATAGGTAGAGAGTTGTTTGGACAGATTGGTTGGAGGATAAGTCTGTCTTTTAGCATCCACGCTCTACAAACTTTCCTCCCACACTGAAACTGGAACAAGCTTTCTTATGTTCTTTCTTGTCCTATGCAGGAGAGGAGGCTTTGACCATGTACATGGACAAAAGTCGCCTTGACCGGAAGTCAGGGAATGCTACTCAAAGTGTTGAAGCTTTGCACCAGCTTGCATCATCCTACTTCGTCGACCGTGATGGCACCATGAGAAGGCTCCATGAGATCCAGATATCAACTGGAGCAATCAAGGTATAGTCGGAGGGTGCACTTAGATTCTCAAGTCAATAGAGCAATGATATAGACATTCTGAGAACCGATAACAAACACAATTCTTTGCTTCCTATCACTCAATGTACCTTAGTTTCCTCTAATAAACCACTCTGATGAATATTGCCACATGATCTCTGACAAAATGAACATCTTCATTAGAGTGGTCCTATGTACTGACTTATTAATACATTCTGACTATGGCCATTACAGAATTATTCACAGCCCTGTCAGTCTCTGGTAAATAGCTGGCTCTCTTTTTTCTCCTTTTCTTTCTTTCTTTCTTTCTTTCTTTCTTTCTTTCTTTCTTTCTTTCTTTCTTTCTTTCTTTCTTTCTTTCTTTCTTTCTTTCTTTCTTCCTCTCTC